TTGATAGATAAAGTTGTTTGTGGAATTTGACCTGTTATTTTATCTATTAATAGAAATGGTAATGATTTAGTGAATTTATTGTACATTGAATGAATTTTGACTTCTATACCTTCGTTGATTTTAGTTTGAGTTTGTCCGATTCCTATAATCGGATAATTAACTTTACTTGTATTAACTTGCAGCCTTTTGGCTAACTTTGTAGTTATAAAATTGGTCTGAGAACCTCCATCGAGCAAGGCCCTACTTACTTTGAAGTTTCCTGAATTATCTTCAATATAAATGTTAGCTGTTCCCAGCAAATTGTGAACATTATCATTGGATTTAAAAATGGATTGATTATTGATACTAGAATGAGCAGAAAACAATTCATTAGACTGACTCTGAACTGAATCTTGAACATCAAAACTGTGATCTTGAGCATGAACATTATTATTTTGAAAATTGTCATTGTTAAATTGAGAAATATTGTCATTAATTTGAGAAAAATTACTTTGATTTGGTCGAGAATCAAAAACACTAGGCATTGGACTTTGTGAAACATGTTGAACTTTTGAATTGTTTTGATTTTCAGAGAACTTTACAGTTGGCTCCTTTTGAGTTGTAAAATTACCATCAATATGTAATAAAGTGTTGTGCCTTAAATTACATTTTTTGCACTGGCCTGTACATTCATAGTTATGACTTGATCTTAGACAATTCTTACAAATATTTAATCTTTTGACTTCTTTCATACGGTTTTGAACTGAAAGATTTAGAAATTTTTCGCATGCATAAAGGCAATGATTTTCTCTGCAATAAAAACATTTGATACCTCCAGTTGACAAATGAGAATATTGTGAATTTGGGTTTTTAAGTTTTTGAATAATGTAAGAATTATTATTTGAAGAATTATTATTTTGTACAGTTTCTAAGAACTGGCATCGGCTGTCTAAAAAGTCTGTAAATTCATTGAACTTTGGCATAGAGGTATGATCCTTAATTAAATTTTCCCATTCTCGTCTGCTAAAGTAATCAAGTTTAGAAACTAACAGGTAAATTAAAATCGAATCCCATTGTTCTACTGATTCTCCCAAATTTTTTAAGGAACGATAATCTTTCATCAATGTATCAGAAAAGTGTCTTAAAGCAATGGAATTTTCCTTCGGAATGTTTTCTAACTCGAATAGTGACTTTATGTGACAATAATTAATAATTACTCTCTTGTTTTGAAATCTCTTTTTCAATAAGTCCCATGCAATGTCATAATTTAAATCAGTTATTTCAAGTGATTGAACTACTTTAAGAGCATCACCCCGTAAGTATGATTTTAAATAATAAAATTATTGTACTTTGGTCAATGTTTGATTCTGATGAACAAGAGAATCAAAAGTGTCATAAAATTGCATAAATTCACTGAATGAACCACTAAATTCTGCGATCTTTATAGGTGGGAGTTGTACATTGGGCAATCGTAAGTTTGAAGGCAAGGATGTCCCACATAGAACATTTTGAACTGGTGATGGAGTTTGAACTGGACTTTGAACTGGAGTATTTACCTTTCTATGGTTATTAATAATATCTTGAGCTGAAGAAACAGTGCTATAAAAAGCTTCTTCGAATGTAACCCTTTCTTGTAATTGTTTATCATCATTGTTAGTTAATAATTCAATTTGACTTTGAACAGAATCAAAATTATTAAAATATGATTCGATTGTTGATAATCTTTTTTCCAATTCTGTTGCCGACTTGTTTGCAATATAAAAAGCGTTTACAGATGAACTAAATCGCGTTAAATGTGATTTTATCTGCCCACGATGAAAAACTAATTGTTTTAACTTGTCTTGAAATTGTTCCTCTAGTTCGTTGTCACTAGGAGGAGCCATCTTGCAAAATATGTGTAAAAATAAACTTGTGAACACAAAAAGGAATATTTTGATACTTGTTTCAAACACCTTTAACAAATGAACCTTGTGAATACGTAGATAATGTGCAAATTAATTATTGAACAAATTGAGTCTACCTGTTGTGATTTATATGGGAATAGGAAAATGATCATGGAACGGACTTACATTGATTTAAATCCTTCCTGTTGCCTTGTTTTCCTCCTTGGAGCACCGAACACTTTTATTTTGATCGATTGAATGTCAAATGTACGTATGGATACGCGGTACACGATATTTTTCGAAAATAATCCGGTGAGAAGTGACCAAATGTTGGATTTGCTGGTTCAAAATGGTACTTTCGAAAATAAAATGAACACTACTGAACAGATAGCGGACTGTATACTAGTAAAATGACCTCTGAGCTGGTCAACTGAATGCGCAATAAAATTGTGAATGTGAATCTTAACGTAACCGAACTTACTTGAACCATAGAGTGTTCATAGAATTCGGCACGGCATGGTCGGCATTGCTTATTCTATGATGGCGGCGAATCGACTCCTTCCTCGTTGTCGTTGTGTAGGATTGAACTTCGGGAGGTTGTGCGCGCGCGGCAGGAAGTCCAAACGCGCACAGCTGGCTGTCAGAACGCGGATAATGAAACGTTAGATCGCGCGTAATTCAAATATCAAAACGCACAATGTCAATAATTACAATGAATATCATGAACTCTACCAAACCGAAACAAGTACCGTACAACAGCAATAATACCTGAAATACAGGGTGTCCCAGGGAAAACAGTCCACCCCGATTTATTGGATTTGGGATGAGAATTTGGAAAAACGCTCGGACACGTCGATTTTTGATTTGAGGGGGAACTATTTTTCAGTTTCTTTCATCCCCGTAGTTTCAACCCCGTAGCTAGGGGGACAACAACCCCCCAAATTTGAATAGGGGATAGGGGTCATGTCATATCTCTTTCTAAAGGTCTCATCGAGTTCTTTATGCCCCTAGAATTTCGTCTCATTATTTTAATCCGTTACGAAATGACAGCTTGTCAAATTCTTGGAAATAGACTATTAGTTTTAGTGGGAGCAAAAGCGATACTTACCTCCCTTAATAAAAATACTTGAAATGAAGTTTTTTCTTATTATTATTAACAAGGTGGACACGAGAATTGTAAATTGTAGGTATTTTTACTCGTATTTTTATTAAGGGAGGTAACTACCGCTTTTACTCCTACTAAAACATAGTCCATTTCCAAGATTTTGATAAGCTGTCATTTCGTTACGGATGAAAATAATAAGATGAAATTCTAGGGCCATAAAGAACTTGATGAGACCTTCAAAAAGAGGTATGACACGACCCCTATCCCCTATTCAAATTTGGGGGGTTGTTCTCCCCCTAGCTAGGGGGTTGAAGCTACGGGGATGAAAAAAACTGAAAAATGGTTCCCCCTCAAATCAAACATCGACGTGTCCGAGCGTTTTTCCAGATTCTCATCCCAAACCCAATAAATCGGGGTGGACTCTTTTCCCTGGGACACCCTGTATAAATGATCAATATACAAGCTCACTAAATGCAGTACCTTCGTAAATGGCCATTTAACCCTAGTGTACAAGTATTTACCTGTATTCAGTGCAGCATTAATCAAAGTTGAAGTAACAATACGTAACCTGAAGGGCTTTAATATTATGTAACAATATAGGTAGGATAAATACCAAGATACCTAATAAAATTGAAGTACCTAACAATACCCAACCTGAATGGTAAATTTCATGTAGTAAAGGTAAGATATATAATTGATTAAAACTGAAATATTAACATCTAATCTGAAGGATAATTTTAAAATAGTAGAACTGCGTTGTTGTGGTGATTTACTCCAACAAGGGGTTGGTAAGGTTTGATATTAAGACAATACAACACACTTATCAAACCTGAGTAGTCCCTAAACTCTGGGGGGAACCTGCCGGATGGAACTAATATCTTCCAGTGTTTCCGATGGCCTGGGTCGAGGCCACAACAAGAAGCCACTGGCCCTGGGCACTGAAGTTCAGTAATTAGGAGTCACTAAAGCTTCCAATGGTCTAGAGGAGGCTGAAGATTGGAGGTACTACTTGAACCACACAGTAAGCTCAACGTTTAACTCTTTACTCAAGTTAAGGACTAAGCGTGACGAATAAGAGGTGACGATTAAAACGTAACGTCTAAAACTGAAGATTAAAGGCCTGAAACAAATGGACTTAATGAGATAGGGCGTGGAGCAATAGAGGTAGGTATGTAGGTAGGAATTTAACCGTATAATTAACAGAAAACTATGCTTTTACATAGGAAATAGAGAAACACAGTGAAGATTAATAGGAAAAACCACTTACCAAAATTACTTTTGACCTTTAGGAACAAACCACGTTGCTCTAAAATAGCGGATTAGCCACCCTAGATCTATGATCGAAACTTGGCAACTCAGAAATCGGCAAAATGTGCCTGAGGAGTTTTCCCGAACACTTAATCGTGGAAAGTCCTCGACCTGAATGAACTCTGCTTGTCCCTGCAATGTCCTTTCAAAAGGTTCTGTCAAAACTCCAAGGTGGAAGGTACTGGGGAATTTTGATGGTAGTTGGGGCGTGGGACTTATTCAAGTTAAGTTAGTACCGGTCATTGACCCTATTTGGAGCGCTGTCAATCTAGACAATCTACTCCGATCAGACAATCAGCTGTTCTAGTGTAAATATTGTGATTTTGTTTTATTAATAAATTAATTGTCTATTTATTTTAACCCTACTAACAGAAAATCAATTCCATTAATAAACCTCTAACTTAATGATTCTGGGAAAAATGAAAAGTTTGATGAAAAGTTTGGCCACAACTATTGAAAAGACAACAGTGGCTTGACGAAGGTATGCCATTCATTCAGGCGAATACGCTTATTTCCTTTTATTTTGGTGCGGGAAAAATCATCCCGTAACAATTTCCAAAATCATAATCAACAAAATTTTGCGAATCAGTCAAACCCTCTTTACAGTCAACAAAATTTTGCGGAACCATCAAGGCAAATACAGGCTTTTGTGATCCAACCTCCGACTAGTTTTCAATTCTTCATTGATTCCCCAAAGACAAATAATTTTTTTCCGGTAAATCAAGGAACTGAATCTAACTTGGCTGAATGGCAACCAATTGAAACATGTACTCTTGAAATAGAGGAACTATGCGAAAATATGGAAACGAAAGAAATACAGGTCATTGAAGAATCGGAAAATGTTTTAGAAAATGTAGGAGAAAATGGAAAATATAGAGAAATCAAGGAAAAACTGAAAAATGAACTGAAATTATTTGAAGAAGTTGAAAATGAGAATCTTGAAAGTCAATAGGAAACATAAAACCAGAGCTACGAAATTAACTAAAGCCATTAAATCAAAGCAGCAATTATCAATTGGACACGTTGAAAATATATTAAAAAGAAATAAGATTTAGCCAAATCAATTCTATGGAAAAATTACAGAAAAGGATGAAGTTTTTAGACAAAATGACAAAATTAAAAGAAAATTTGAAAAAGATGACTTGGAAGTATCAAGAAAAGAAAATGACAAATCGAAAGCCATAATTCAAGAAAAAACTAAAAGTGAAGACCTAAAAATTAGGATAGTAAAAGAAAATGTGAATAAAAAGGTTTCCAATGATACCATTTCGGAAAGCACAAATACAGGAAATAAAAAACAAAAAAGCCATGATAGATGAAGAAACACTTGATGATAAAGTTTACGAAACTTTAGCAGACATTAACCTTGCAGTGGTGGCGCCTATTTTTTAGCAATAGTAGTGGCGCCAAGTCTGAGAGACCCATATTCCTTAAAAATCATGGAATATTGGAAATAGATGAAATATTTAGTCTGGGACCATTATTTTTCATTTTAGAGAGTGTTTGCTTCTATTTTATTGTTAAATGTGAAAATAATTTGTGTTTAGGAGTGTCAAAAATGGACAGAATTACAAAAGGTCCATAAACAGTGAACAATAAAACAACATAAAAAAGGAAATATATCAGTAAAGACTTGAAAGAGACTCACTCCTAAACTACTTTTTTTTTTTTCTTAACTATAATCTACCAGACATATTTCGTATAAAATTAGGGTATTAGCTTACAAATGAGACACATAAAAACAGCATGTGAAAATCAAATAAAGTTTTCTATTTTGACCATGTTTTTTCTTCAGACAGAACCATCCTTTCCAATGAAAGTAGGAAGTCGAGGAATTAATGCACTTGGTTCTGCTTCTGGTTTATCTTCACCATCTTGCTCCCACGATCGTTCCTCAATATTGTCTTCCTTTGCTTCAGACTCCTCATCATCAAAATTTCCCTCGGTATCAGTCTCTACTTCCTCCAATAGCATAAGCACTCGAGGTTAATCTTTTTCATAACTCATAATTGTACAAATTCATAAGAAATACCATAATTGTACATATACACTGAACTTACAACAGACTTACCGAAGGTGGAAATATTCTGAAACACCACCATCGGCAAATCGCCAGCAGTGGCGCCTAGTCCACCAGACCCGAAACTATTACCAAGCCACTCAATAAAATATTTAGCACTTAACACTTATGACGTTCGCTAGTGAACTACATTATATAGTCCCAGAGACGGCTGCAGAGAATCTGTCGTCATAAGGTGGACGAACGAAAATAATATGAATATTAGTTGAGGCACTAATTAAGAGAATACGCGAAGGTTGCCTGCGAAAATCCTGCCGAAACAGTGTTTTTCAATTTTTTTATTAGATAAATAATTACAGTAACTATCTTTTAGAGGTGGACATGAAATGAAATCACTATGTTGTAGGAGAGCGTGAGGCGAATTCAACCATATAAGGCTGCCTGCCCCCACCCTGCCGCAACACCCTTGCTGCCTGGCTAAAAAGGTCGGTTTTTTATCAATAACTATCGTCATCAGGTGGACGCATAAATTAGGTCTCAAATTATAGGTCTCGATCTCCTCTTTCCATCAAACTAAGGCTGCCTGCTCAAATCCTGCCGAAAGATGTGGTTGCCTCGTTTTTAAAGTTTCCAGTACGTGCGCCGCGCGCTAGGTATTTGCGGAGCGCGAGGTGTTTAGTGGCGAAAAAGTCGTCTACAAAACACCGAAACGAGTTTTTATTTTTGCTCCTTGTCACTTTGTGTTACTTCTCATATTTAAATTATTGATAAGGATCTATAAAACAACACGTCAGGATCTAACACAACGCGCCGCGCGCGTGCTTTTTGCGAAGCCAGGCCTAGGAATTCCACTCTCTGGCCGCTACGGCTACCACCGCAAGTGCAGTATCTAGACGTAGAAGTCGTCGAGCTTTCATTTCCGATTATTTTTTTTTTAAAATAAACGTGAAATTCGTGCTTGTTTTAAGATTAATTGTTTTCTCTATAGGAAAGACAATGGAGTTGTTCAGCAATTTTCTAATGCAGCGTTGAAAAAGTGCATAAATTGTATTGCTTATCGTCGTGAGAAGAATTTCAAATACAAATATTGTGAAGGACTGCTTTTGTAGTTTTTTTTTACTTTTAAGTTTCCTATTGACAGGTTTGTTTACAGAATCGTGACGTCAAAAAAGGTAGCCATCATGGAAGTATTGTTTTGGCGGGAAATTTTTTATTTCAAATTTAGTATTATTTTTTGTGTAACAAGAGCGGTATTAGTTAAATAAAAACTGGTCATATAAATATTGTGCAGTATACACTATCGATTTAAAACAAATTTGGAAAATTTTAGTTCACTTGCAAGTTCCCTATTTTCAGTGGTTAAATTCCCAGAGAAGAGAAAACCGGTCAGCAAAAATCTGTCATTAGCTGACCGTCTATTATTCATCGATAGACTATCAAAATTTATATTTTGAAATTTATTTAGGAAATGTCATCTTTTTGACATTGACTTTAGTTGTCAAAAGTTGTTCATTTTAACACACACGCCAAAATAAGCAGGTGTTCTAATACAGTGTTAAAATGAGATCTCATTTCATCCCTGAGTGTTGGAATAGGATTTAGAGTGCGTTCCGCGTGAGTGTTAAGATGAGTTTATAATGGCCGTTTCCACCAACTATTTTAGGGGAGCCCTAACGATAATTATTCTCTAAACTGACATTTTTCTATATAAAAATGAAATGTCATTTTAGGGCATACTTATCGTTAAGGCTCCCCTAAAATAGTTGGTGGAAACGGCCATAAGTATTTTGAATTTTAAATATTTTGAATGAATCACAAAAAATACTGTATGAAACACGTCGCAAGGCTGGTTTTTTGCACGTAATGTGTTGGACCAATCTTCACATGAAGCTTTTGGCAGTTGTGAAAATTATGGCTTTTTAAAAATTAGGTTTAACTATTTTTAAATTTTGAAATGTAGGAATATATGCAACTTGAACGTACTTTAATAAACGTTTCTTGTCAAAAAAGTTCATGCTTTTTTTTTCAAGCAACCAATCAACATCTACCCCTCAACCCCCCCACCCCATCATGGACCTGAATTCCTCTTGATATCAAACTATGGTTTTCATGACGTTTTGTTTTATAGATCCTTATCGATAATTTAAATATTAGAAGTAACGCAAAGTGACAAGGAGCAAAAATAAAAACTCGTTTCGGTGTTTTGTAGACAACTTTTTCGCCACTAAACACCTCGCGCTCCGCAAATACCTAGCGCGCGGCGCACGTACCGGAAACTTTAAAAACGAGGCAACCACATCTTTCGGCAGGATTTGAGCAGGCAGCCTTAGTTTGATGGAAAGAGGAGATCGAGACCTTTAATTTGAGACCTAATTTATGCGTCCACCTGATGACGATAGTAATTAATAAAAAACTGACCTTTTTAGCCAGGCCGCAAGGGTGTTGCGGCAGGGTGGGGGCAGGCAGCCTTATATGGTTGAATTCGCCTCACGCTCCCCTACAACATGGTGATTTCATTTCATGTCCACCTCTAAAAGATAGTTACTGTAATTATTCATCTAATGAAAAAATTTGAAAAACACTGTTTCGGCAGGATTTTCGCAGGCAACCTTCGCGTATTCTCTTAATTAGTGCCTCAACTAATATTCATATTTTTTTCGCTCGTCCACCTTATGACGAGATTATCTGCAGCCGTCTCTCGTACTAATAGGAAGGTACTGGAACGGCGAAGGATTAATAAATCAAATGAAATTTTAAAATATTTGAAGCAAATGTTAATGGCAAAATTAAATAAAAAAATTGCAAGATTGACACTGCTGAGCATAAACTCAGAAGACAAATGTTTACAAATTGAAGATATTTATAAAAGAATAAAGAATACAATTTACGGTCATAACTTTTCACCATCCCGCAAAACACAATCAATTATTCTAAATTAAATTCATATAGTTCGCTATTCCTACACTTCGATAGTATTATCAAAACTTCAATTAATTTTTTTTTTTTAATTCTCATAAGAAAATAGGTGAAGTACATAAACATAAAAACGGGCAGACCTATACAAAAAAAAATTAAATTTAGATAACGGTATTTTTATTCAACTACATAGGGTAGGTACAAGTAATACATGCTTATTTGCAGTTCCAAATCCAGGAAGTCTTACTATCTCATGAACAAATAGCGATAAGCCATAAGATGTAGTATTAAAATCTTGCGGAAGTGTTACTATAGGAAAACAATGTAAAGCTTACAGCGCATCTATAATGCTTGTGCCGTGCCTCATGACAATATAATTCAATCCAAAATGTATAGTGAATTTGTACCGCCTCTTGAAAAATGTAGCAAGTCACAAATTGGACGAAATCGAACGGCTAGCCAACTCGAAAAAAAAATCGGTTACATTCCATCAAGGCGTCCAATTAGGTGAAAAGTAAATTAAGGTTTTGTATTAATAATATGTAGTAGGTATGTAAGTAACTGAAAATTAAATTAGTATTTAGCTCGGTATTTAGTATATTTTACGTTTGTTACACTATTTTTATATTTTTTGTTCTTACATTTAAATTTGGTTCTATGAAATTTCTGAATTGTTTTCTCTTCTTCTTTCTTATTATATTTTAAGAGATTTCATATCAATTAATTGCAATCTAATATGAAATCTCTCATTAAGGGGAAAGGTATTGTGAGTATATTATACAATATATGTTAGGTATTCATGCATGGTATAACTTATTTACTTAAACCCAATTTCCTCCAAATACTTCGACATATTTATAATTTTAATCCTAACTATATTAGTATATTTTCATAACAAAACTTCTTAACAATAATTGTTTATTCATCTATTTAGTTGATTACATAAAATCATATTTCTTCTTTCATATTTCTCTAGACTTCAGATAAGGCTTGTTAGTAGTTAAATTATTTAGTTATAATATCTAAGTCAATACCTAAATTATTAAATCATAATTGGTATTTACTTAGATTAATTTGTCATTATGAATAACTCAAAACAAACCCATTGAGATGTTTATTTTTGAGTAAAGATCATTATAGACTGTGAGACTGTTTAGTGGAGTCATTTTTTTTTGTCCTGCATTTTGAGGGCTGAATGTGGCTAGTTAGCTAATGAGAATATGGGTGATTTTAATGCCTGTCACCCGTTCGAAAATTTGAAGAAGAAAAAAACTGATTTACATGAAGATTTTTTTTTAATGATCCTGAATTTTC